TGAAATTGACTCAGTGCCCCCCCCCAAAAAATCAGTTCCCCTTGGAATCACTCGCCTATCTGCCCTCCAGCAATGACAGGTGCACCAATACTATAGTAAATTGCTTTATTCACATTATACTGTTGAATGAGCAACCTGGTCTATCTGAATGTAGTGGCAAGAGAAGGAGCACTTTTTGGCAAGACACACTAACCAATATAATTCTTACCAAAAATAAATACTTTTTAAAAAGTACTTTTGGGTTTAATCCACCCATCAAGACTTCTTTTATAAACTGCTTTTGTTGAATGTTTCAAATTATTGAAAGAGGAAATATAAACTATATTCACAGCATCTGGTATAAGCCTAAATGATTATATATCTTTTGACATTAATATGCAGATGACATATATTACATTATGTATGTTATGGAATTAGTATTATTTAGTTTTATTGGTATCTTTAATACTAACAAAGACAAAATGGCTAAATAGTACATGAACATATTGCAGTGATGATGCTAAAACAGGAGAGATGGTTAAGGATATCACATATATGAGGGAAAAAACCCAACAAGAAGAGAATATTAAATAAGATTGATCACAGAGAAAATTCAGACTGTTATTTTAATGCAAGATACAAAAAATTAATTTTAGCAATTAGGGTTGAGACCTTGTCTACCATCTCTGGAACTTCTGGTTTTTTTCCTGGCTTTCACCAAAATAGTGTTTCTGCTATTTCTATTTCCAAACTAAGGAATTCTAGTTTAATCTCACTAAACAACATGATACACCAGATTCATAAAACATTGAGAATATATTTGGCATTTGAATATATTTGGAAGGCTCTTTGGCATTGCCCAAGCTTGGTGGTTGCATTACCCAACTAGGTAACATCATCAATGTAATATTCACTTTCTATTTATTGGGGATATAATTCCCGTTAGGAGGTAGTAAGAAACTGCATTAATGCCAGGCAAGAGTGATATGGTGAAATAATATGGTGCATAAAGAAGAAAGGAAAATTTATGAAATCAATTCCATATCTCCTAGGAGAACTTCTAAATTGGAGGTAGAAATTGAAAATTGGAATGTGATTCCTGATCCTTAAAAGGTAAAATTCTGGTTAAACTTCAGATATAGTATATATTATATAATAATAAAATGAAAATAATTTTAGGTATCTGAGATGGCTGTTTTTTATTACTGAAATGAAAATAGCAATATTGTTAATGATTTCAACTAAGATTATTTTGTCAACTTTCCTCAGCTAACACATGTGCTCCCCCAAGTGTCCAAAGTATTATTTTAACTTTGATATAATTTATTTTAACAGAAAGCACAAAGATTTATATAAGTGATTATGAGATAATTCATTATTTGACATACTATACTTTAAGAAATTGAAGGAGAGTGATTGAATACGTGAGTAAATATATGTCTGTATATTAAAGGAGTTTACACATAACCATTTCATCCTTCCTATTTAGGAAATACATTCTGGTGATGATTTTCAACAGATTCCTGAACCACAGGAGAAACAAAATTTTAAAATTCATAGGTTTACATGCTATTTTGTTTCTAATAATTGATGAGAAATAATTTTTTTAAGTCTGAACTCCAGCTGTGTGGGATGGCAAATATAAAGGGATTGACTCTGTCCCTGTGATTCAGGAGAGGTAGAAACCTCTGGACATGTCCTTCTTTCCTGCTCTTTTTTTATAGAGACATTCAAACAATTTTTATTTTCTCAATAATTGCTAGACATTCTCATTCTGGTACCGGTTTATATTCAGTAGTTGCTTAAGATATCACATAGAACAGATAGATAGATTCTGCACAGCAACACTAAAGATTTCCGGAACTTAATGAATAATTCATTATAACCATTTTATATCATTAATGCATCAAATCTTTTAATATTATTTCCCTGCTCTATTTTAATACCTAATAACTATGCTCTTATTTAAGTGCAACTGATAAATAGGTGCAGATTATAATTTTAATATAGTTTTGATTGTTATTTTTCATTACTTTATTCTAGAATCTTAATTAGACACTCTGAGTATTTTTAATTGTACTAGTCTTTGATTGGAATAAATATTTTTGAAAGGCCTTGATTATAACAGAACCATACCCAAAGATCAAGATTATTTATGGTACATTGAATGTTTTTGCTTGCAAAAGCATATTTCCAAAACTGTGACACCCCAAAAGCTGTTAATGTTCATCTTATTTATTTACGTGATCTGTATCTATTATCTTTGAAAAACTCCCGGTAGTGTATATTCATAACAAATAATACAATGAAGCAATTGTAAGCAAAAGAAAAACAAAACTATGCCCTTCCAAATTATGACATGTGAGCCAACCATTAAATCTTGAAGGCCTTACAAAACAAATTTAACTGTCTTCACAAAATATAAAAAATAGGAGCCATCTGTATTTCTGAGGAAAGGGTATTTTAAGCAATAGGATAGCTACTGAGAAGTTCTATTTCTGAGTCAACCTTCAAAATCTTAAAAGATAATGAAACCCAAAGCATTTTCTATTTGATTAAATATATAGGATGGGTATATTGCATTGGCTAGAGAATGAAGGTATCTAGAACCCAAGCCATTTAAGATTTTTACATTAAAAAAGCACTTTGAAATGTACTACTTTTATATTTGTAGCCTACAGTATGCATGGACCATGCAGTCAGTGTCACAAGACTGTGGCAACTCCCTCATTTTGAACCAATAATAGCTTCATCAAAGGGAGAGCATGTACAGTGATAGTCCAACAGTGAGCTGGTGAAAAAGAAAGCCATTGTAACTTATCAGTAAAACCCTCAGCAGAGTTATGGCAAAGAGTGTTAAATCCATAATTAGAAAGTGTTATATCTTTGATAATTAATGACTAGTTTTTACAGATAAAACCTGCAGAGCGTACACACCACAGGTACACATGATATACAGATATATTGCATAGTATTCTTAAAATTCATTGGGTAGATAGCTTCCGAATTAATGTGTATGTTTTCTTTTCTCAAATCAGTTAGAACTGCTAACAAACAGTACGAGCTCAACATTAAAATAGTTTCTAAAGTCAACTTTATGTTATAAAGATCTGTTATTTGATTTGTCAATCGCTTACAAGATAATAGGTATAAGTATAAACATAGTTATGAATGCATGAAATGGATACATATAAGAAAAATAAAAAGAAACAATAGGACAGGGACGGTAGGCACGTTGGTGCGCTTATGCACGCCCCCCCCCCCCCCT